AGACCAGGCTGGCCTCAAACTGTGACTCAAACAGAGAATCACCTGCCTCTGCCTCCTAGAGCTGTGATTAAAGGCATGACACGCCACCGTCTGTCAAGGACTTTATTTTAAAATGTTGCCTCTCTTAAGAAAACAGTAGATACTGGATTATTAATTATTATTAATGGTGCAAATGGGTAACTTCGTAGAGCAAACTAGGCTATTTAGCAACATTCCACCATTTTCTGTGCTTGTTTTTGTAGGTGTGTGTGCGTGTCATCTAATTGCTCCCCCCTGCCCCTGCCACCACCCCATGGAAACTCAAATCACTAGCTATAAGTCTATTCAAAATTTAATTTCTTGCCCAATTTTTGTGCTGCTGTTAATGACGTGGCTTATACAATGATTTGGTTTAATTATTACCCTAGTTAGCTCTACCCGTCAACTTGTCACAGCCTAGAGTCGCCTGAGAAGGGAGTATCAATTGAGGGTTTGCTTACAAGAGATTGGGCTGTGGACACGTCTGTGAGAGACTATCTTATTAATGATGTAGGGAAGACTCAAGCCCTTGAAGGCAGTACCAATTCCTGGGCAGGAGGTCCTGGGATATATAAAAAGCAGGCTGTAAAGCCAGGAGGTGGTGGCTCATGTCTTTAATCCAAGCACTTGTAGGGGTAACTCTCCTTCCCTTTGTATGAAGGAATGTCTCTGCATTTTCAGTTGTTAGCTCTGTACAGAGAGCTAAGTGCTGGCAGGATTTTGTTACTGTAATTTCTATGACCTCTCACTGGCTTTATGTTTGTAAATGTTTGTCCTTCTACAGCTGCTGAGATACTTGAAGATCAGGCAGCTTCACACTGATTGGTTGTATCAGAGAGCTGACAGCCAGTATCGGGAGCAGGAAGTGGAGGGTAGAACTTCCAGGAGAGAGAGAGAGACCCTGGGAAAATAAAACAAGCGTGGGAGACTCAGAAGCAGACTTGGAAGGGAACAGACAAGACCTGAAGAGGGGCAGAGAGTGTGAAGAGTTATCCATGTGGCTGGTAGCAGGTAGAAGAGTCAGGTCAAGTTTCGATGGTAGCTGGGAATATGCCCAGCTAAAGGCTTAAATGATACCAAAGTCTCCGTGTCATTGTTTTTACCACTGGTGGAGCCAGGAAAGTCCAATTATAAGCTCTCAGAAGGCAGAAGCAGGCAGATCTCTGAGGTCAAGGCCTTCCTGGTCTACACACACACACATACACACACACACACACACACACACACACACACACACACACTTGGAAAAAAAATTGCCATGTGTCTTAATGGATGTGAGCTAGGTCATTGTGGGTGTGCCCTTGAAGGAAGTATTGGTATCATGGCTCCTGGTTGGTTTGAAGCTGCAGCATGTCTCCTCCCCACTCCGTAACACACACACAAAGTAAGTGTAAAAAGAAAGTGTTCTCAATAGGGATGGGTGAGGTGGCCCAGAACGGCAGGTGCGTGCTGCCAAATCTGATGACCTGAGTTCAGTCCTAGTTTGATCTCTGGAGCCCATGTGGCAGAGAGATGGCTCAGTGGTTTGGAGCACTGGTTGCTCTTCCAGAGGTCCTGAGTTCAGTTCCCAACACCCACACGGTAGCTCACAACCATCCATACTGGGATCTGATGCCCTCTTCTGGTGTACATGCAGAAGAGCACTCATACCTAAAATAGATAAATCTTAAAAAAAAAAAAAAAAAAAAAAAGTACTTGAGGGGCTAGGGAAATGGCTGAGTGTGCTTAAAAAGCTTGCTGCTCTTCTAGAGGACCTGAATGTGGTTTTCAGCACCTGTAAACTGCCTAAGACTCCAGCTTCAGGGAATCCAATACCCCCTTGGAGCTCTTCGGATACCCTACAAAGATGTGGCATACACATAAAAATTTTTTGTTTTGTTTTTTTTTTTTTTTTTTTGAGACAGGGTTTCTCTGTGTAGCCTTGGCTGTCCTGGACTCACTTTGTAGACCAGGCTGGCCTCAAACTCACAGAGATCCACCTGCCTCTGCCTCCCCGAGTGCTGGGATTACAGGCCTGCAACCACCATGCTTAGCTCACATGCACCTGAAATTTTTTAAAGTTTTTTTAAAAGTTAAAGCAAAATTTTAAAAGTACGTCAATAGAGATGATGGCAGGAAACTGTCTACAGAGAGTAAGCCACCATAGCTGGCTTTTGTTTCCGATTTTTGAAACAGGATTTCACTGTGTAGCGCTGGCTGTCCTAAGAATTTGCTCTCTGGACCAGTCCGGTCTCAAACTTGAACTCAGAGATCTTCCTGCCTCTGCCTCCCACGTGCTGAGTTTAAAGGCGTGAACCACCATTTCCCAACTACAGCTGGCTTTCTAAAAAGGGGCCTCTGGCTGTGCGCTAAGGTCCTCCTGACAAATTTCTAGCCCATATACAGTTGAGCATCACTAGATACAATCGGAGGTTGATCTAGGGCTATAGGAATGGTAGGCAAGCCCTCAATAACTCAACTATGTCTCCTGCCCTACTACGTTCACCCTGTATAACCATCATTACCATCACTATCCAGTGAACTCAACTATTTTGAGGGCTAAACCCCAGTAGCTTTATTTGCTGCTGTAAAGTGATGCATACACATTCTCAACACTACTGTATATGAAAGTTGCGTATAAGTGAGAGAACTGGGACAAGGAAAAAGACCAAGTTATGCTACTGGTTGGTAGGAATTTGGTCCTTCTTAGTTTTTATTACTTTATGTCCATCTGTATATATTCTTAGTATTAATAATAGCTGAATATGGGCTACTATCTGACAGGCATTGTCCCAAGTGCCTTATAAACACACTAATACCATTACTCCTCAAAATAAACCTAGCGTCTAGGCCTAGTGGTAAACGCCTTTATTCTTAGCACGTGGGAGGCAGAGATAGGTAGGATTGCCGTAAGCACCAACCAGGTCTATGTAGAGTTCTAAACCTGCCAGAAATACACAATGAGACCCTATCTCAGAACAAACAAAAACAGACTTAGCTAATGTCTTCAGTATTGTATTTTATAGGAGCAAAATGTGGATGAACTATAAAGCATTCATTCCACTTTTTTTGAGAAGAGTCAAGAACCAATACATATTCCTCAGCTATATGACAAATAGACTACTCAAAATTTAAAAACAGGTAGAATATAGCTCAGATGGTGCTCTCCCAACACAATCTAGCATCACATAAACTGGGGGTGGGGCGGGGTGGAGGCAGGGCTGGGGGCCTGTAAGCATACACCTGCAATCCCAGCTCTGGAGAAGTGGAAAACAGGAGGATCAGGTCAGTGCCATCTTCAGCCAAGCTACCTAAGAAGGCAGCTGTTCTCTGCTAGCCTGGCAGAAAGGTGGGTTTCAACCAAACCAAACCCCCAAACCACTCCTTCAAAAAAAAAAAAAAAACAACCCCCTCAAAACCCAACCAACTAAACAAACCCCTCCCAACCCTCCCAACCCCTTTAAAGCCAGTAAACCAGGAGTGTGTTAGTGCATGCTGGCAATCCCAGTACTAAGGTTTTAGGCGGGGGGGGGGGGGGGGGGGAACCCCAGGTAGGGGGGTTGGGGGGGGGGGGGGGGGGGGGAGGTAACTCAAGTTTGAGGGCAGCCAGAGATTCACAGTGAGACCGACTCAAACCCTTGACCACTTAGTTAAAGACGAAAAACTCTATGAGTCAGCTATGACGTAATACCCGTTAATTCCAGTACTCTTTTGAGTCCTCTTAGGACAGAGGATCTGGACTTGAGGTTCTTTTCAACACAGTGGAACTCTTAAAACTTTAGAATGCAAAGTTTAGGCTTAAATAATTGCAAAGACTAATCTTCAAATAATATTTTGCCAATGATAAGGCAACTTTGATCTGTATTAGAAGACACAAGGACCCCAATATTTACTTTGAGTTTTAATAAGCTATTAATACATGTACACTAACAATTGTAAAAAGACAGATTTGCTACCAAAATTTACAAATTGTACAACTTATGAAAAATATGATTAAAAATATGCAAAAGTAATAAAGGGAAGTACTGTTTGGGGTTGGTCTGGTCAGATGCTAAATTCTGGGTTCCAAGATCTGGTTGAAGTCCAGACGAGTGCATTCTCACATATACCAAACAATGTTGTATAATTTTTTTCTCCCCAATTATCTCTGATTGGTTAATAAAGGCTGGATAGCCTGAAACTTGGCAGAAGAGAGGTAGGCGGGGCTACAGTTCCTAGGTCCTAGGTAGGGACCATGAGGCAGGAGGAAGGGGACGAGGAAGATGGAGAGAAAGGACGTGGCCTGATACAGCAGATCCAGCCCAGACAGGACGAATATTGGAAAATAACTTGGGGCATGTGGCTGGGAAGTAGTAGCTTGAGTAGTTTAGAAAATTAATATAAATTGTACTTGTCCAGTAATATGCGTTAAGCTGTTTAAATAATCAATAGGTCTGTCTCAATTATTTGGGAACTGGCCTGGTTAGAAAAGCCGTCTAGAATTAACAGATTTTCTACAATTAAGTACTTCAAATAGAATATGAAACTTCTACTTATGAAATGTAACCAGAAAATGGGAAAGACTAATGTGGACAGTGACACCTATTTTAGCTCAAGACTTTTGTTGACATTACCTTATATAAACCTTCCAAGGGGCCCAAGGCTATAAAAAAGGTTACCTGACTGGGAAAGGACTCTGCCAGAGTAAGGAACAGAGGCTGCACTCCTGTCTCTAGTCCCCTGAGGCCTGGCCCAAGTTAAGGTGCTTTTGTACACTTTGCAGCTCTAAGCTGAACTGGGGCAAGTGCAGGTCAGCTGTCACTGACCTGCTGTCACTCTCTACTTCAGTACTCAAGTGGCTCCTGCTTCTGGTCTTCCGGCTTAAACCGAGTTAAGACAAGCTGATCTGCACTCTTCTAAGTGCAGGCTTCAGAAAGGACCATCAACACCAAACTGTCATGGGGCTGTGTCTTAGTTCTCAGGTAACAGGTTAATTTCAATGTACAGAAATAATGCATTTTCAATGCAGAATAAATAGACGTTTATGAGTAAGAACAGAGCAAGGGTCTTCCCCATGTTTTAAATAACAGATACATAGCATCTTAAATTATCATATAATTAGCAATTTTAGACATTGAACATAATACACTGTATTACAATGCAATGTTGTAGGCTTCCATTTAAGGAACAAAAATAAATTTCACATGAAAAAAGATTTATTTTAATTCACATAAAATACAATCAGCATAAATGTGAACTGCAGCACTACCGTACTGGAACACACAGGGAAGCTCGGAAAGGGCACGTTGCCTGTGCCCAAGGCTTTTCACAGTTACTCATCATCACCTCGCTGTCTTAAATTCCGAGACTTTCCATTCTCAAGTCTTCTCTTCTTAAAGACAGGGGCCACTCCATCTGCTGCAACTCCCAGAGAGGAGACTGTTTTTTCTTTAAATACCACTTTGATTTCTCCAGCACTAGCTTCTGATAGACATTCACTTTCAGTGCTTGGAAGTTCCAAATCGACCTCTTCCCTGGAACAGAAAGAAAACTTTATTACCTGAAAAATTAAGATAAATGCTTGCAGATGAACTAAAAAGCCAACCTAGCACAAAGAGCACCTTCCCCACGGTACCACATCAGTAGCCGGTCATCTGAGAACACCAAGCTGTTTCTGTTTTGGCTTTTTAAAGACAGGGTCTCATGCAGTCCTGGCTAACCTTACTCTCTCTAAAGTCACTGTGGATGACTGAGCTCCTGAGCCTTCATCCTTCATCCCTCCTGTGCTAGGTTAGGTGTGCACTGCCTGGCTCTAGGTGATTTTTAACTCTGACTCAGGTGAACATGTGTTAGGAGGACAAGTCTCATCTGCTACACAGAGGACATAATATATCATTACATACTCTGCTCGTATATGACATAAACAGGTAATGGAAGTTGTAAAAACTGATTTTACCACTGATTCTGAAGTTTATATAATACAAGATAAAAAAAAAAGGAACCTTAATGTCCTATTATAGAAGACTCGACGGACTACTTGCCTACCGTCTTTTTATTCTGAGAACTAGCCCTTCAACTACCCACACAGTCAGTCATAAACAATCTAACTGACCTGAAATCAGTGACCTGCTTCACATGAACTTCTCAGTACCCTATCTTCTAGAGCAGAGGTTCTCAACCTTCCTAATGCTAAGACTCTTTAATACAGTTTCTCATGTTGTGGTGATCCCCAACCATAAGATGACTTTGTTGCTACTTAACTGTGATTTTGATACTGTTAAGAACCTTAATGTAAATATCTGTTTTCTGATGGTTTTAGTCAACACCTGTGCAGAGGTTATATGACCTCCCAAAGGGGTCATGAACTGCAGGTTGAGAAACACTACCCTAGACAGGCAACTGGTCTATGGTGGAGTTAGCTCATCAATTTCACTTATGAGATTTTTGAACACAGAGCAGAAAGATCATCATATTCAGTGGGTGAGACTATAAAGCCTGATGGGAACCAAGTACCATCCTTTTGGAGAGAGGGATTCAGTAGACAGAGAATAAAAGCAGCAAACAGAGAAAAGCAGAGATGTGAGATAATCTAATTCTTTTTGAAAATATGCCTCCTCAGAGGACCCCCCCCCCCTTAGATTTTATTTTATGTGTAGAGGATGTTTTGCCTGCATGTATGTCTGTGTACCACAATGCATGAAGTGTCTACAGAGGCCAGAAGGAGGTGTCAGATCCTCTGGAACTAGAGTTACAGTTGGTTGTTAGCCACAATGTGGATATTGGGGACCAAATCCAGGTCCTCTCCAATAGCAGTAAGCACTCTTAACTTAAGGAATCTTTAAATAAATGAAAGCTTTTATTGTTATTTTATAGTAGCTACACTTGTGTCTTTTGTACACCAGACACTGCATGAGGCAGCTGGAGTAGATATTCCAGTAGAAAGACTAGCTTATCTAAAACACCGTTCTATTCTTTCCAGGATCAGCATCAGCATTTGTTTTATTATTAGCCCTTCCTTTCAGAGACCACTGAATTCAGAGCATGTCCATTCAGAATTACCAGTGATGAGCTTAGAAGTAAGAACCAGTCCATGATAAAGTTAGCTCGGACAGTTTAGTTGTATGTGTGTGAGTGTCTGTGCACATGTGCGTGGTGCCTGTGGAAGACAGAAGAGGGAAACAGATCTTTGGAACTAGAGTTACAAATGATGTGAGTTGCCATATGGGGCTCGACTCCTGGCCCTCTGGAAGAGCTCCCCATCTCATATCTCTTAAAAAGTATATTAGCCTAGAGCTTTGATGTTAGGTACAGAGCTTATCTGTGAAGGGGTCAGCTCAAGAGGAAGGCAGAAGTGAAAATAAAGGATCAGAGACTGCACAGCACCCTGATGATTTTTACTGAAGCATGTGGGTCCAGCCACACCAGAAACTACTTCATGTAAGTCACATCTTAGCATAGAACAGTAAAACAAGAACAGTGGTACCTTATCAGCAGTGATACTACAATTTAGAGACAGTATTATTTTTATGTTGTTTACCAGGACTAAACTTCTATTTAATACATACTATTAAGTTGTATTAGATGATTTTCTTCTGCAAGTACTTGTGATTGAGCCCCAAGGTCTTGGCATGATAGGCAAGAATACTATCAACTATATCCACAGCCTCAATAACCTGAGTCATAATATAGGTATGATACACCGGTAAGTATAACAAATTTTCTTTTTTCACACAGGTGTATAAAGGTAAACTAACATGTTCTGAGAAACTTTCTATGTTCCAACCTGTACAAATGTGAGTAAAATGCAGTCACAGAGTATGAATGCTTCTAGAGTTATTTCAATAATTTAATAGTTAGACAATTTGTTAGGATCATGAAAAATGAAACAAAAGCGCAAGGACAAAGATAAGGACTGCAAGGTGGTAATGACAATTTAAAAACAATTTTGGAGTAAGCCGTGTAGCCCATTGTGTAATCCCAGCACTTGGGAAGCTGAAGCAGGAGGACTAGGAGTTCCAGCCTAGCTAGGTCTCATAGCAAGACCCCAACTCAAAGATTTTATGTAGGTGTGGTAGTGCATACTTGTCATACCAAGCACTTATCTGGCACTTAGAAATAACAATATTTGATCTCATTAAGGCATTGTTGCTAGAGCAGATTAATGATTTAACCACCACCCTTGAAAAGAACTCAGAGATGTAGATTGTTAGCAATAACCACTACCCTTAGAAAGAATTCAAAAAAATAGATTGTTTAGCAAGGTTAGGTAAAGATGTTTTTGCTAGTACCTCTGACGTAGAAAATATTAGGAAAAAGAGATTGCTTAGTAAGGTTAAGTAAAGTTGCTTTTGCTAGTGGCGCTGATGGAAAGCATCTTAGAGAACAGTTTGAAGTTCAGGAAAGTACATTCTTAATAGTAAAGCCAGGGACTTGTTGAGGTTGGTGAGCGAGAACAATAACCCAATTAGCAATATCTGACTCTCTCACTGAAGCTGGGCTTCAGGGTGATTAATTTCTTGTCCCCATTTTTGCCCTCAGCTTCCTGTTATGATTCAGTAAAAATTGTATAATGAGTAGACTGAGGACTTAAAGTAGAAATAGGTAATTATTTTTATATAAAAGTTTAGGTTTGTGATTCTATTAAGACTTTTATAAGATTACTTTTTAAGATAGTTGATTTTTTTTTCTTTGTAAACTGCAGCCTGCCAGTAAAGAAAAAGCTGGCTGAGAAATGACCTTGTTTGCTCCTCTCTTTAATTTATAATAAGTTGTTTAGTTACAAACGCATATAGGTTCTTGGAAACAACTTGTTTTTCACCCATAATATGAAAAACACTTGATCATGTGAAGGTATTAGGGAATGTTCTTCTTACATATACTCATTGTAATATAACCACATTGTGATTTCTGTACTGCTTGAAAGACTTTACTGGGATATATAAGCAGTGGGAAAAGAATAAAAATATGGTCTGGAGCTCACTCTTTGGGGTTTGTTCCATTCATCAACTGTAAATATGTATATATGTGTATATGTACAGTAGTTGGTGAGGTTGGAATCTGTTTCTATCTACCCAATGTGTGAGTGTGTGTGCATGTATGCATGCATGCATGCATGCATGCACGCATGTAAATAAGTATATATGTGTATAGGTAAAGTAAGAGAAGCAAGAAAGAACAAACTTGTTGGAACCTACCTGCTGGAGTCTGTCTTACTTCATCAAATACAAGTAATATATATGTATGTGGTCTTTTTCTCTCCTTTTTTTCGTTTCCTTTTTAGACTGTCTGTCCCTACCAGTGGAAAGATCCCTGCTAGAAGCCAACAGCCCTTGCTCCCACTTACCATAACAGGTGTAAGACCCCGCTTGCCACACTAGTGGAAGGCCCTGTTAGGAGGCAGCAGCCCTAGCCCCACTTACATGGTAGCTGTAAGCCCCCGCCAGGAAGCTGTCACTACTGGCCACCAACAATTTAATTTTGGCCCCTCAGTTTGCCACTATCAGTAGAAGCTATGGTTGGTAACCATCAGTTCTGGCCTGGAAAATTCCCCTCAGAAAAAGTCTGTTGGGCCACCAGCCAGCTAGCAACCACAGATCTATGCCCCAACTTAGTTTTATCCTGTGAATGTTGATGCTGGTCATCAACAATGGATGTAACACTGTCAAAACAACAACAACAGCAAAACTATGCCTATAGGAAAGGACAGAATAGAAGGTAGGGCATCCAATAGGCAGAAAAGGATTCTGGGATAGAGCCAGGCAAGGAGATTCACCTCATATGACAGACATGTGGTACCTAAGCAGAGGTAACCAGCCATGTGGCAGAATGCAAATTAGTATAAATGGGTTATTTAAAGTTGTGAGCTAGTCAGAGAAGAGCCTATGGAAGTACATAAAAATCATCCACCCTATACTATCATTTCAAAGCATTGTTTTAAAGAGTATCTGCTTTACCTATACACCTTTCTTCACCTCAAGGGTTCTTTTAAAGGTTTAAAAAAACACTAAAATGATGCCTGGGAGTGATACATACTTACATGGTAAAATAAATGCTTCTAAGAAGAAAACTTATTTGAACAGTTAAGCCAGTGACATAAATCAGGTAACATCCTCAGCACAATGTGCTTAACTGTTGACAAACCTGTTGCCCTTCAATATGCCAAGTATTTGTTTTTCTGATAAAAAATGATGAGTGAATGAATCTGGTATTAGAAATGTCCTGCTTTGGCAGGCAGGAAACAATCACTAATTTGTTTTAAAGCAACAACTGCTTCATCTTTTACAATCAAAACTATTCTAGGAATATGACAAAGAGCTACACTTTTAAGGAGCACAGCCCACCAGAGATTCCTGACTGTGCTGAGGTGCTGGGACACAGCAGTGGGATGACACCTCAGGTACTTACTGCGCTGCTGCCTCCTGTTTAATCTCTTGCCATTCCCCATAAGGGTTTGTCGATTTCTTAAGTGTTTTGGGTTTTTCTTCATTTGTATTTGATGAATTCTGTTTTGGGGTACTCTTTTCTTTTTGTATTTCTGGGTCAGTTCTTTTTTCAGTACTTTTATTTTTTTCCTGAAATGCAAAGGACAATAAACAGCACACTTCAAGCAAAATTGTTAACCCCAAATTTCTTTAACTTTTTGTTTGTTTGTTTTTTGAGACATGGATTCTCTGTGTAACAGCTCTGGCTGTCTTGGCACTCACTCTGTAGACCAGGCTGGCCTTGAACTCACAAAAATCAGGCTGGTCTTGAACTCATAAAGATCCGCCAGCCTCTGCTGGGATCAAAGGTGTGTACCACCACTGCCTGGCTTTTCTTTAACTTTTAAAACTGTCTTACTACTAGTAATAAGAATCATTCATGTAATGGTTTAAGTTTTCTCATTACATAATAAATGTACATGGAAGAACTTGATCAGGTTTTTTACTATGTGTAAAACTTTAATGCAGTATGTTTAATGATGCTTTTGAAAAACGTACTGTGACGATAAAGGTATTGGTAGCATATGCCTTTAATCCCAGTACTCTGGAGACAGAGGCTGGTCAATCTCTGTGAGTTCTAGTCTACAGAGCAAATCCAGGACAGCCAGGACTACATAGAAAAACTGTCTTGCGGGACACAAAGAGATTAGAATGATTCTTCTCCCTCCTCCCACCCCCACCCCGGGGCAGAAGCCCTGGGGCTGGTTCTTTATGCCATGTCTTCATTGGGTTAAGAAAGCTAGCTCTTTAGCCCACTTTGCCATTTTAGTGTGTATGCTGGGGTTTTTCAGCCTCCTTGCAAATTACACAACCATAGGAAGCTTACTTGGAATTTCTCTAATTTTTGGAATTTCTTTTGTGTTCTACAATGACTCTTCCCCTATGTAGCCCAGGCTGACCCTCTACTTCTAAAGATCACCAGGATATGTCACCATGCTCAGTAACGTGGTTTTCTTGTTCCCTTTTCCCTGAACAGGGTCTCACTGTGATGCTCTGCCTGCCTCTGCCTCCCAAGTGCTGGCATTGAAGGCACATGCTACCACATCGCTGAACATAATTTTCACAAATCCTCTGGCCTTTACTTTTGTTAGCTCTACAATCAATGATCTGGATCTTTGCTGTTTCAGCCATCTAGTATTAAAATACTAAATTCTTGTCTGCGGATATGGTGCAGATGGTAGTGCGCCTGCCTTTTATGCAGAAGAACCTGTGTTCGATTCCAAGCAAAGCATAAACTGGGCAGGCTGGTACAGACACATAATCCCAGCATTTAGGAGATGGAAGCAGGAGGCTCGGAAGTTCAGGTCACCTTTAGCCAAACAGCAGGCTGAAGACCAGACTGGGCTGGAGACTTTGTCTTAAAATACTGTTACATCTTCATTTGGTTTTATTCCAAGTAAGTACTAACTCTGAAATGCCTTGTTATGACATTTAAAACAGAAAGCCCCTCTTTTGAGAATGGAGTTCTTATTTCCTTTGGCTTTCTGACTCTCTTACTTGTACTATACTGCTCACCTGACTCTGTATCATTTCCAGTACTACCGATTCCTGAGTTTATTGGTCTCTTCTAGACTTTACATCCTTCTTTTATAGTTCAGTTTCACAGAGTATCACTTTAAACTCTCCTTTGTTAGCACCCTAAAAATGTTTGCTTGTATCTTTTCTACTGCACATAACCAAAAAATTTCCATCGTTGTATATAACCATTTGTTCTTAACTTGGATCTGTAGTTACCCCCTCCCAAAAATTACAGTAGAGACTTTTAACAGTTCTAAGTGTTGTGTCCACTAGTCCTTTGAATAAAAAACAAACACAAAAACACTAAAATTTCTACACAGGGCTAAATAATGATGTATTTATACTATAGAATATTATATAAACACTGCTTTGGCAGATAGTTACTGTTGCCTTTGTGAAAGATTAAATTGAAAGCTAACAGCAAAATCTTATTACACCACTGATTCCAGATTTTGTTTAAAGTAATATGTGTACTGGCTGGCTGGGAGGTACCTCAGTTGTAGAGGGTATGAGTTAACATGCCCAAGGCACAAGGTTTAGTACCACCACCCTTTTTGTGTGTGTGTCTGAACAGAAAATAACTGCAATTATAGTGGATTGTTCTGGGAGGAGGGAAGATTAATACTAGTTCCACCATTTGTTTTTCTCTACTTTGTAAATAGTATTTTTATAATAGGTGCCTTAGTTATGATAGAACACAATCATGCTACCTTATGTTGGTTATGAATAGTCTGCTGGCTGCTACAAAGGCTCGGTTGCCCTTGTGATACAGAGCTCCTCCTGTACCTCGTAAGAATTGATAAGAGTGGATAGAGAAATCCCGGGCAATGCCAGGATCTTAGGCACGGCTTGGGAAAGGTCTTTCTAGCATCTTAAGACTTCCTACACTTTTGAAGTCAGTCATCTCTCAAGTGCTGGCATTAAAGGTGAGCTCAATTTCTATTTTCCATGTCTTATCCAAACCATACCTAAACTAGAAACTGCTTTTCTGTTCCCTATGAGTTCTACTACCCAAAACGTTGATCAAATTTTCAGAAGGGAACTAAGGAGTTACTAACTGCTAAGTTTAATAGATATACTCCTTTCTTTTTCCACTTAAAAAAAATTAAACTTAACAATTACATTTTTACTATTTATTTTGTGTGGATGTATATATGTTGATATATGTGTGAAAGTCAAAGGACAACTTGTGAGAGTCAATTCTTTCCTTCCACCTCCACCATGTGTGACTCTGGGACTGAGCTCTGGCCTTCAAGAGCCTTTATTGCTGAGCCATCTTGATAGGCACCCCCTTAAAAAAAACACTACCCCTACTACTTTTGTTTTTTTTGGTTTTGTTTTCAGATTTTGTGTGCGTGCATTCCTGCTGACTAGGGTATAAAGGATAATGTGGGAAAGATAAAGTTCTGTCTTTCCATCATGTGGGTCCTGGAGAGAAAACTCAGGTCGCTTGGCCTAGAAGCAAGTGCCTTTCTTTACTGGCTGAGCCAACTCTCCAGCCCAGCAGACTTAATTCTTGATGCGTTCTCCTTGTCTGGCTTTGGGACATTCTTCTCAACCCCTACATCTGCCCTCACACCTCCACCGCAAGTGAACTTAAAAAAATGTTTAACATCCACACTTATTCTTCTAAGCTAGCTTACCTACACTGAAACTTAAAATACTATTAGTTGTTACCATTTATTACCATTTTTGTTTCTAGTCTAGGTATGCACACTGGCCAGACAAGCTTTCCAAATGAAGCTTCTTAAAGTTACAAGTGTTAAGGCACGTGTCTTCAATACCAGCATTTCTGAGGCAAGAGGCACACAGATATTGGCAGTTTAAGGCCAAGCTTGATCTACAAAATGAGTCCTGGGCTACTCAGGATTGCATATTGAAGACCTGTCTTAAAAAAATAAAATATAATTTAAAAAAAAGTTAGATGGTCTAAAATAGGCTCAGTGTCTTGCTCTCAAGAATAAATGGTACAATCATCTATCCAAATGCCAAAATACAGTTGACCTCACCCTTGAGTGATTTATTTCAAGATCCCCATGGATAGATGCCTAAAAGCACTATACCATATCAAACCACACACACTCCCAATGGTAACTGATAAATTAGGCACACTAAGAGATTAACTACAATAGTAAATCACAAACTACTACAACAATATACTATAATAAAAAGATTTCATCATGACATACAGGGTGACATACAATTTTAAAATTATGAACTGCTTTTTCTGGATTTTCTATTTACTATTTCCAGATCTGAGTTGATTAGAAGTAACAGGAACCATGGAAAATAAGACTGACAAATGTTTGTAAAAAGTAAAGCAAGAACCTACCTTAAACTTGATTACTAGCTTCTTTGTTTCTACAGGGGCCTCTTCTGCTTTCTTCTGCTCGCCATCAGAATCACTGTGAGAATCTGATGATTTGGATTCTTCTAAGGTGTCAGGTAACTTTTCATTGTCCTTACTAGAAAGCACATCACCAGTGTGTGGAATGAAATCATCAGGCTTTTCCCATTTGGATTCTGCTCAACACATTGTAATAACTGCATTATTTATTTAGCAATATTCCTCAGCAATATACCACTTTTTATCATTTGTAATTATTACATAATATGGCATTTTTATATCTATACTTTATCAAGAAAGGAGCTCAAACCTCTCATTCTTTTATCATTCAGAAAATTTGGGGTAATCTGCATTTACTAAACTCATAAACCCTCCAATAGGAACAAACTTGGGAAGTGGATGATAATTTTAAAAATCTTTAGTTTACCTGAAAACAAGACTTCTGGAGTTTTCACAATATAGTGATGATTTGACTATACTACTTTCATAGTAAAGGAATCTCAATTGGCTGAACTCCACTGCCATCTAGTGTGCTTTTAGAGATATTAAAGTGCTTTTAATCATCTAATAATCGTTTTGTAAAAGGGACAGTAAATATACAAGTTGTTATCCAACTGAGACAATTTTAAGAATGAAGCTGAATAGGAGATAGAGGCAGGAGGATTTCTCTGAGTTCAAGGCCTGCCTGGTCTACATGGTGACTTCCCACCAGCCAGCTACAAAGTAACAAACAAGATGGAAAGTGGTTACTAATTACACTGATCAGGATTAAACTTTTTTCCTCAAGAATGACTACAAACTCAGTGACTTCACTGATAAGAAGCTGCATCGAAGTTAGACCTGTATTAAGTCTAAAGTCCTATTATATTAATGTGCTGTATGATCTCTCTAAAGACCGAGAACTTTACTTATTTGGTACAGAAACACTGCTTTCACTGGGCAGAATACGTATCTGTTTGAAAGTTTAAAAGGCTATTTCTTCCTAAAAGATGAAATACAGAGTTTAGAATAGTAAGAATTTAGACACCCAAGCTGATAGCAGAAAGGAAAATGTGAAGACTGATGGGGACAGCTATCCAGTGGTACTGGCTAAGAAACTTGAGGGCACTTCACTGAAGGAACTTATAACACTTCCCATATGGCAACTTATTTCTTTGTACATTGTCATTTCTTCGTACATTGTCCTAAGTATCAACATGAACATGGCCAAGTTTTAATATCCTCTGCTTCCCCACCCCAGTACTTTCTTTTCTTCAGTCCTTCTGGATAAAAACCTGAACATATGATGCATGCTGGGACAAACAAGAAATTTTTTAAAAGAGTTGAAATCCAGGCATAAGAAACATTGAAAACCAGCTGGGTAAGGTGGCATAGTCCTGTACTTGCAGCACCGGGGAAGTAGAGTCAGGAGGATCAAGACTTCCAGGTCCTACTCAGCCACCTGTTGAGCTGGAGGCCAGGTTGAGATAATCTCAGAAAGCCAGAAAAGGAACACCAAAGACTTAACTGAAGGATGGTTATAAGAAATTCTGCGATTTTCTAAGAATTTACTTTGTTCTTCCTTGTGTGAAAGGGTCTCATGTATCCCAAACTCACTATCTGAGAATGCCTTTTGAACCCCTGTTCCTCCTGATTCCACCTTCCTAGTAATAGGATTACAGGCATGTTTGATTACACTTGTTTTTGGTTTTGCTTGAGCATATGGTATATGCTTATAGGTGTTGTGGGGGTGTGCTTGCCTATGCACTTGCATGTGAAGGCCAGAGGACTACCTCTGGTACCTTCTCTATCATTCCCCACTGTCTGTCTGTCTGTCTATCTATCTGTCTATCTACCTACCTACCTACCTACCTACCTATCTGTCAATCATCTATCTATCTATTTAATCTATCATCTATGTATCTATGAATCTATCCATCAAGGTAGGATCTCTCACTGACATAGACCTGCCAGCCAGCAAGCTGGGATTTGCCCATCTCTGCTCTATTATCTGTATCATTCACCCACCCACCCACCCACCATCTATCAAGGTAGGGTCTCTCGCTGAACCTAGACCGGCCAGCCCACAAGCTGTGGGATTTGCCCATCTCTGCACACCCAGTGTTGGAGTTACAGGTGTTTACGTCCACATTTCACTATGTGGATGATGGGAGTTTGAACTCAGGTCTTCATTCCTGGACAGCAAGCACTTTAACCACCAAGCCACCTTTCTAGTCCCCATTCTGTTTTATGTAATGCTACAGATTGAACCCAGGACTCTGCATGCTAGGTAAGCACTCTATCAATTAAGGGACATCTCCAACACCAGGTTTTTTTTTGGTTTTTGTTTGTTTGTTTGTTTGTTTTGTTTTGTTTTTTTAAAGAAGAAAATGGTGAGGGCTGAGGGTTAGTGCACTGAGAGGGTACAAGCTTGTATGCCTTAGGTCCCAAGTTTCATCCTCACCATGACAAAAGTTGAACGAGGTGATAACTACCTATAGGTCCTTAGAAGGAAAATTATTAAATCAATCATAAGACCCAGTAATTTTAGAGAGTTGAAGATTCTTTTTAAAATTTGAAAATGTCTTATTAATGAGCTGGAGAGAAAGCTCAGCGGTTAAGAGTACTCGTTGGTCTTCCAGAGGACTGGGGTTCAATCCCCAGCACCCAAATGGAAGTTCACCCCTGTCTGTAACTCCTGTTCCAGGGGATCCAACACCCTCACACAGATGTATATACAGTCAAAACACCAATGTATATAAAATAAAAATAAATAAATAATTACTTAAAAGAATTTCACTAAGTGGACACAGAGAAGTGGCTCAGCAGTTAATTCTTATTGCTCTCACAGAGGACCTGGGTTAAGTTCTAACACCCACATTATGGCTCAAAACCAACCACGACACCAGTTCCAGGAAATCTGATGCCTTCTTTGGGCTCCCTTGGGCACCAGTCTCACAGGTGGCAAAATAGCCATACACATTAAAAAACAAAACAACATTGATGCACAGTATAACATACTATAAGTAGAAAAATTTAAAGTATCCCTTATAAAAAATATAGATACATCCTATAGAAATATTTACTACATTAAAGTTAGTTTAGATGATATATTATCTCACATGCAGTACAATTTTAGGTTAAAATAATCAAAGACAACACTCACCTCCTGTTTCTGTATTATAATAATAGGTATAACCGTCTTCACTTAAACCTTCTACCCAAATGGCCTTTGCTGATGTCTAATAGGAAGGAAAAAGACAATACACTGAAAATAATGACAATGGCTATCTATTGAATAACTAAGGCAAATCTTGCTATGCGTTCTTTTCTAGCTGGTACCTGGGAGTCAAGAGTAGTGATAAAGATCATGGTAACACAGTCTGGTTTCTGCTTGTCACTACCAACTTTCAAACAGAGACTGTCTTACCTCTCAAAGCCAGGAATTCTGTGGGACAGAGACATGTGAACAACAAATGACTACAAATCAACTACTATTTCTCCTGAATAGGTTTTGTGTGTGTGTTCCTTCTTTACCCAGAATTCAAACAGAAGGGTTATAGGAAGAAAGAAGCCATGTTGGCGGTTGGAGAGAACTGCTTATTTGGAAGTAAATTTGCTTAGCAAAACTCTATAAAAAGTCACAGCAGCCAGTCTGGAGATTTGTTTAGCTCAGGGGAGAATGCCGGCCATTCACAAAGTCCTCCGATCAATCCCCAGCACCATAAAACCAGCCACCCAAACCCCACTCAAGCACTGTAGAAGCCAATCACACTTGAAAGAATAAAGCAAAGATATTATAAATATGCTACAGTTACCTTTTTTAAGCTCCCTTGAAATCCTTCTGGTTTCTCCCACTGAGATGCTTAAAACAAAATACATTATAAAATAATTTTGCTTTAAAATAAAACAAGTCCCAAAAGTGTAATCAGGTAAAAATCCACAGATAGTCAACATCTATAAAACACTACAAAATAGTTTATTACTGAAAAACTAAAGAACCAAAGCATACATATATATTTATACATATATGTATATATTCCTAGAGGCACAGCACAGAACACACATGAATGTTACATAATCTAGAAGAAAGGGAAGACTGAGCAAGAGTTACTGAAACTACCACAGTAATTACTAGGGCTAGACAGGACTTTTCTCAGAGATTAGGGAATTTATACTTGGTAGGTTTTTTGTTTTTCCCATCTTTATGTGCTTTTAATTCTTCTATGAGATGCCTTGCCTATTGTGGTGGTTTAAATGAGAATGGCCCTCAGAGGCTCATATATTTGACTTGGTTCTCTGGTTGGTGGAACTGTTTGGGAAGGATTAGGAAGTGTGGCCTTGTTGGGGTGTGTTGATGGGTTGGGCTTTGAGGTTTCAAAGGCCTACAGCACTCCCAGTGTGCTTGCTCTCTCTGCCTCCTGATCGTGGATGAGATATAAGCTCTCAGTTATTGTTCCAGCACCATGTCTGCCTACTGCCATGCTCTCCGCTATGACGATCATGGCTTTTAATCTTCTGGGACCGTGAACCCCAAATAAATACTTTCTTTTATAAGTTGCCTTGGTCGTGATGTTTTGTCTCAGCAATAGAAAAGTAACTAAGATACCTACTCACCTAAAAATACAGTGCAAGTGAACACAGTGACACATCTTTGTAATGCCAGCATTTGAGAAGCTAAGTCAAAAGTATTGCTGTAAATTTGAGGTTAGTCAGACCTTGTACAAGTCCTTAAAAGATATATAATCTCCCAGTTACAGCACTGGATGCTTTTAATAGTAGCACTGGGAAGGCAAGGGCAGGCAGATCTCTTGAGTTCTAGGCCAGCCACGTTTACACAGTGTGACCCTGTCTTTTGAGGGCTTTTTTCTTATTACATCTAGAGGTATTTTATCAGTTAGTTCTTTATGTCTCACTTCTGCTGTGTGGAAATGGTCAGCTTAGTAGCTTTCGTAGGAAAAAGATGGCCAACCTTCTGTTGTCTCGGGTAAAGGGAGAGTGAGAGGTGAAGAATGAAGAATCATTGAGGACAATAATACACAAAATAGAATGGTGAAGAAATGAGGCACATGAAGACAGAAAAAGAGCTTCAAAGTGCATCTGAAAAACAAAACAAAAAACCCAAATACCTCATTCCAAGTGTCTATTTATAGTTGATATACTATTGAACTACAATATGCATTTCATTTAAGACTTTGTGCAAATAAACTTAGAAATGATTACTATTGGGGCCTGGAGAGATGACTCAGAGGTTAAGACACTGGGATCTCTTCCAGGGGATCTGGTTTGGTTCTCAACACCCACATGACAGCTCACAACCATCTGTAACTCCTGTTCCAGGGGATCCAAAGCCCTCTTTGGTGCCCCACAGACACTACACACACATGATACATATATGTTAACCCAGGTAAAACACACATACATATAAAATAAAATAAAAAAAAATCTTAAAGTAATGGAGTACACAAATTCTGCCAACACTGTGCCAAGGCTAAAATTCCTAAGATAGCACGTTGGAAGTGCTGAGTGGTTAAAGATAACTGTGAATTCCTTGCCTTCCTTTTCCCAAGTGCCAGGATTACTAATGTGTATGCTACCACACCCAGCTGTTAGTATGAGCTACCACATAATCTTAGGTTATGTTTCTACTACACAGTATCTTAACGTTCTTTTCTTATAGGATAGGGACTTAGCTCAATGGTAAAGCACTTGCCTGGTAAGTATGAGGAAATAGACACGAAATCTAGCGTAAGAATAGGGGTTGGGGGAGCAGCTAAAAAGAAAATTCCTTTTTGTACCAAATTTACTTATTTCTGCCATAAATTCTGTATTCCTGAAGGATAAAATAAGTAAACTTATTTACCCCAGAATATACACAAAATTTTAAAAAAAGTATTAAATTTTAAAGGAATAAAAATATATGTTTTTGCTGGGCGTGGTGGCACCCACCTTTAATTCCAGCACTTAGGGAGGCAGAGACAAGTGGATCATTGTGAGTTTGAGGCTAGCCTGGTCTACAAAGTGAGTCCACAACAGCCAAGGCTACACAGAGTAACCCTGTTGGGGGAAAACAAAACAAAACAAACAAGTTTTTAATATTCTTACTGTACTTCACTAAACTGGTACTTAACATTAATAAGAAGGCTAGTCTTGTGGCAATCCCTTTGCTTCAAGCTTTTTGAACGCTGGAATTACAGAGTGTGCATTACCACAAAAGGCACATAATTTCCTAAGCTTTGTGTAAAAATGAAGTTACAGTTTCTCACTGCTTAACATATTCCAATATTCAGTAAAACCCTCAAAATACTGTGTTTTTCTATTTTCAGAAAGAGTTCTAGGCTTCCCCAGCATACACACCTCCTGTGATCAGATCGTAATAGTAAGAGTGGCCGTCAGCCGTGGCGCCTTCCACCCATCTGCCCTTCGGTGCTTCTTTCTTTTTCTTCTTTGTTCTCTTCTCTTTCTGCTGATTGGATGTGGAGGTGGGCTGCACAGTGCTCCCCACTGGTGACAGACTCGGCTCTGAAATGTCTAGAAAAAAGATAAAGATAGGTAACTTACCAGTTTAAGTGCTGTATCAGCCAGAAGCCCGGCAGCGCCAGGACAGTGATGCATGCCTGAGATTCCAGCTACTCAGGAGGCTGAGGCAGCGCACTCCGTGTCTGCGACCAGCCTAGACAACATTTGAAAAAACAAAAGTTTGACAAGAGTCTTCTTGGGAACAAAACATATTTTAATAAAATTATCTGAGATACAATCATGCAAGAACATATAGGGAAAGCTAAAAAGTAGTAGTAGCAAGGGTTATAGACTTCTACTGCTCCTTAGAAGTCACCCTAGGGTCTGGGGAGTGTGGCCCAGGGTAGTACATCTACCACGACTGCCCAAGGTTGTGGGTTTAATCTCAGCACACCAAGAAAACAAAAACAAGACAAACAAAACTTAGTCTAAAATTCAACTTAAAACAAATGCAGGTCTGGGACTGTAACTCAGCAGCAGAGTGCTTGCCTAACATGCACAGGCCCTGGGTTAGACCTCTAGTGCTGTAGGGGGAGGAATCCAGCAGCGGAGAATTGATGAGGAAATAAGCAAACACATAACTGAAACAGAATGGTCCAGCCACAGAATCACTGAAGAAGATTCCTGGTGCTTTTTTATTAGCAGGAATACTTAGGAAAGGTGCCAGAGTAAACAGAGTGATGATGCATGCCTTATAGTACTTGGGAGGTAGAGGTAGGAAGCTCGGGAGTTTAAGACCATCTTCAGTGACCAAGGATTCTGACAGCCTGGGCTGTGAAACCCCATCTGAAAAGCAGATATTCTGCCCATATCAACAAAGGTCAATGCTGATGACAACAGGAATGGGACTTGTCAACAACAAGTTTCAAAGGCAAATCTATTAAGCCACTTTCCACTAGCTTCTCACTTCTTCACAACAATGTAAATTCCAGGTCAAACTGAGTATGGTGTCACATGCCTTTAGTCCTAGCACCTGGGTGGCAGAGGCAGGTGGATCTCTGTGCATTCAAGGCCAGCCTGGTCTACAAAATGAGCTTCAGGACAGCCAAGGGCATCAAAATGGAATCCATCCATCCTCAAATTAATGAGTTTTCAATGAACACTTCTCCAGAAACACACAAAGCTATCCATCCATCCATCCAAATGAGATGAGTTTTCAATGAACACTTCTCCAAACATACCAATTTTTTTTTTCTCTCCAAATGCTTTTCATCTTCAGTTGAGTGTAATGATCTATGCCAGTAATCCCAGAGCACGGGAACCTGTCTGACATCACAGTGAATTTGCAGCTATTTGAACTAAACAGTGAGACTTTCATTCATTAATAAATAAATAAATGGCTTTTTGGAACACATGCCCCTTCTTTTTCTTAAATACTAATATTTAGACTACATTAAGCTGACAATGATTCTTACTTAATGAAAGCACTATTCTACTTAAACCCATAATTTAGAGTTCTTTTCATTAGAGACTAGAGAGTATCATTTCATGCTGAAAATAATGGCTTGACCTGAGCAGGAAGCCCCCGCCCCACAGGCCTCTGTTGTACAAAGTCTACTCAGGTAGGCAGCAGTTCTACTGCTGCAGCCTTCTTTGGCTGTGGAAGACAACCTTTTAGTGGGCATGGTTACTAATGGAGAGGCATAACTGGTTAAATTACTGAAAGTAAGTGGCTGCTGTTTTAGTGTGTCAACCCAATGCTCATTAAGGTTCTTCCACGTCACCTTTTCCAAGGTTCAGAAAAACCTCTGTTAAGAAGAGGTGGAAAGATTCCAAGAGCCAGGAGATGGAGGTGTTGTGGTAGTGAGCTTTTCCCTTTCAATATAACAGGATCACCCCACTATCTGGAGTAGAGAATACCTTGATCCAGTCACGGCAATAAATAAGTGAGCAACATGATACAGTGATGGTCAAGTATATGCTGATGGTAATGGAAGTACTGACATTTCCTAGGGGGTCTCACAGGACCTGCTCCTTCTCATTTGGATTGCTAGTTTACTCCATCCCGTTCCAGCTCCCCTGACAGGTGATCTTGGGAGCTGCTCAAGTAAAGGAGTGCAAGGTTAACTGAAAAGAGGCTCCTGGATATGGAGTCCCCAAGGCAGTGACCTCCAATGGGGCGTGCCTCTGAGGTGATGCAGCTGTTTGAGGTCATCTGTGCTCCTCACTCATGCTATCTAAGTAAGCTCAACAAGATCACTGGTTCACAAAAGTAAAAAACAAACCCATCTGGCCATCTTACCTACTCTACCAGATCTACAATTGAGATCTCTTCTATGTCGGGTTTAGGGACTTAGTGGGGTGCAGAGCTTAGGAGGCAGGGCCTGCTGGGTTTATATCTCCATTCTGGCTCTGGGCTGCTCTCTCAGCTTCTGGTCTTCAATGTGTGGGTAAGCCTCCAAGTTTCCCTTTCGGGCACCTACCACTGTGTCATCCCAGGACAGTGGATTGACACCTTTGGAACTGAAACTCACAGCTGACAATTTATCCTGTAGGTTGTTTCTGTCAGGTATTTCGTCATGAAAAAAGTAACTAATACAATTTGTCATGGACAAAAGCTCATAAAAACTTCCCATTTTAGAGCTTAAATTCAACAAGATAGAAATGTTCAATAATACCCCTTACTCAAACCCTCAAAACAATCTGCCTGCTTGATGTCACATCAGTTATTTGTCTAGAAAAGGCAACTCCTTCATTATGTAGCCAACCATATAAATAGATACAGCAAGTTTTGGCTATGTTGAAAATATGTAATTATAAGGCAAGGTTTTTTTGTTTTTGTTTTTAAATGAATAGTGCCTATAACTTAAGGAGTATCTAAAAGAGAAACCTGAAGGTTTTGGAAACGAATCATTCAGCTAGGATGGAGCTAGGACTAGGTAACTGTAAAGGCAATATTATTGATAACAATAAAAGTATCAAAAAAAATGAGACATTAAAAGCAAAACAAGGGGTTGCTAGAGAGATGGCTTGGTGGTTAAGAGCACTGGCTGTTCTTCCAGAGGTCCTGCGTTCAATTCCCGAAACCACATGGTGGCTCACAACCATCTATAATGTGATTGACCTGGTGCCCTCTTCTGGCATGCACATACATGCAGATAGAGCAATCATATACCTAAAATAAGTAAGTAAATAAATAAGCAATCAAAATTAAACAAGGAGCCAGCAAGATGGTTCAGGGTATAAAGGCACTTGCCACTGGGCTTCATGACCTAAGTTTGATCCTTGGAGCCTACATGGTGGAAAGAGGGAACTGACTCTTCTAGGCTGTCACCTGAACTCCACACAGAGACACAGAAACATAAATACACAGATAAATAAATAAGTAAATAAATATGTAAAGCAAAACAAGCCAGGCATAGTGACTCACACTTTTAAATTCAGCACTTAAGAGGGCCTAAGTAGGAAGCTTACAAGTTCAAGACCAGCCCACTACATGCAACAAAACAACAACAATAGCAACAGCACAAAACAAAAGTGCTTCAAAGCCCATATTCTGAATAGGACAATAATGCATAATAAAAGCACTAGAATATTCCAAGTACATAGCTCCTATATGGAGACAAAAAAAGACCACTGAGCACAACCTGTGTTGTTACTTATAAAATTTGCTTGCTGATGTCTTACCTGACTTTAAGCCAAGCCTTTTCAGATCCTCTTGGTATGCCTTCAGGGCAGCTGCCTCCATGGCAGCAAACTCCTTGGAGGCCTTTTCTTCTTCCTTTGCCTTATCCAAGCTTTTCTGCTTAATCTGTGTAAGATACACATGAAATGAAAGTGAGAGAAGGGATCAACATTTACACAGAAAAGTAAACAAAGAGCCAATTGAAATTACCTCACTGATCCTCTTGGCCACATTTTCCTTGTGATTCTTTCCTCTTTCATGAAACTCAACACTCTTGAAAATGAAAAAGGAAACAATTATTATTAAACTCTCTTAAACTATATGGCTGAATTGTAAGATTATAATGGCAGAAAACAGAAAAAAAAAAAGATTGTTTTAATGCAAACTGACCCTTGTATCAAGTGATGCTAGCAGCCTAAGCGGGTTACTGTGCTCCCCCACTAGGCGCTCTCTGGTTCTTCAAATGAGCCAGGATGACCACACCGGTGGAAGAAATATACAGTACTAACCCAGTGAATACGGGTGTAATAAGGACCTAAGACATGAAGTCTTTCAAAAAATATATCACAGCTAGACAGTCACATTTACTGTAACCCCAACATTTCAAAGACTGAGGCAAGAGAAACCAGAGTTCAAGGAGTTAAGGCCAGCTTAAGCTATTTGCTCAAGTGACATCTCGCCTCAAAACAAACAAACAAACAAAAGATAATAACACAACAACAGAAAAAAACTCCACAAACCAAAGCAACCACCAAACAAACTAAAGCCCCAACAACAACAATATCCTACCTTTCTACATCAAATATCAAAACTGGCTAAACCTCTAAAATTTCATTGTTCTGTTTTGCTATGTAAGACATAAAAACATATCCTTAAAGACTAAGTTTTAGCTTGGTGGTGGTGGTACATGCCTTTTAATTCCAGCGCTTGGGAGGCAGAGGCAGGCAGATCTCAAGTTCGAGGCCAGCCTGGTCTACAGAGTGAGGTTCTAGGACAGAGAGGAGTGCAGAAAAACTTTAAAACCAAAGGGGGAGGTGTGTGTATGTGGGAGGAAAATTGGTCTTTAAAGCATTAAGAAAAGATTCTTAAAAAAAATTCCTCATGTGGACAGGTAAGATGACTTAGTGGGTAAAGGTGCTTGTGACCAAGCCTGACGACTGGATCCAAGCCCCAGGACCCGCACGATGGAAGGAGAGCAGACTCCTGAGATTGCCCTCTGCCATCACACACCACGAAACACCCATACCAACACACACACATTCCCACACAATACATTTTAAAAATCCCTCACATTGTGCAAAATGATGCAATAAATAAGGTTACTCACTGCAGTACTGTTTGTAGCAATAGTCTTGCAGCCTATCTGTTGGAGACTGGCTGAGCAAATTGCATTCATTCCCATAGGCTTTCATAGAACAGAAAAGGAGCGCACAGTTCCCTCTGTACTGACATGCAGACACCTTCAGGATATACTTAGCTCAGTTAAAAAAAAAAACAAAACTAAAACTGCTATGTAAACCAGCTGGACTAGAATACACACACATAAATAATGGAAGGGTACATGAAAAACAGGGGTGGTAACTTCTGAAGAGCAACATTAATTAGATGGATGGGGACTGGGACGCCTGAGCAAGCACTGGGACCTACTTAAATCATTAGAAATCCCCACTAAATCATACATGTCTGGTAGTAAGAAAAGAGAAATCCCTGGAGAGTCCTGACCAAACTATTCTAATATACTCCTATGAATTCCTCTTTAAAGCTGGGGTCTGTAAAGCAGTCTTCTCTATTGCTCCTATACTGGGTTACTTACAGCTGATTCTACCACATAAGGAATACTATACTAAAGGATCATTCAAACTGAATAGTGCTTGTTGTTAATAGCTAAATTACTAGATATATACGGAGATACAGACAGACCTCTGGAAAGATCACTTAAATAACTCATAAAGCCATTTTACTGTCTACAAACCTCTAAGGATGGATGTATTTCAATTTGTATGGTTTTAAAATCTCATAGTTTTGATAAGGAGTAACCTAAGCCAAATAAAATATGCATAATCTTTAGCAACAATCACCAAAGCCAAAACTGAGGAGCAACACTCAAAGCCAAAGGTGATTTAATGCTGTTTAATGAGGGAATATAACAAAAAGATCGCATCATTCTCTGTGTACAACAGTTCTGCCTACTAATAAGGTTATGTATATGTAGGATTTCTGTTGTTTTGTTTTTCAAAATAGGGTTTTTCTGTGTAGCCTTGCCTAGAACTTACTCTACAGACCATGCAGGTCTCAAACTCAGAGATCTTGCCTCTCTTCTCCCAGGTCCCTGGATTAAAGGGGTGTGCTACCACTGGCAGGCTGATTGTAAGTTTTTAAAGTATTCTTTTGTGGGTTACACACCTATGTGAGTGCATAAGCACCACATGAATACAGCCGCAAGTAGAGGTCGGAAGCTGCTGGGAACCCTAGAACTGCAGTTACAGGTGGCTCTGAACTGCCACATGGCTGCTGGGAACTGAGCCCCAACTTCTGCAAGAGCTGGAGGTGCTCTTTACTGTGGTGCCCTCTCTCCAGTCCCCATACTCTATAGAGAGGGAAGAAGGCCTGCTGACTTTTTTGCTTTATACCTTAAAGACGGAATCTAGGAGTCAGGTGGTGGTGACACACACCTTTAATCCCAGCACCCCTGGGGATCTGTGAATGGGGGGGAGGGGCAGCCTGGTCTACAGAGTGAGTTCCAGGGCAGCCAAAGCATTCTGGAAACCGTGTCTCCACACCACCAACCCTAACCCCACCACTGGTGGGGGTGGGGGAAGCTCTATTTAGGCTATAAGCATAATGTGTTTCACAGCTGCTGTCTTTGTATTTCGTGAGATGGAATAATGTTCTCCTTTCTCTGGAAAACAAAACGAAGTACAATATTCTTTTTAAGGGGTAGGCACTCTGTAAACAAGGATGAAATTACCCACTCACTGTCCATTTCCTCAAAGGCCACAGAAATAATTTGGCCTTACAACTCAAAGTTAGATTGATGAAGAGATGAAGGCAAGTAACTTTCCTAAGGTGAATCAAACAAATCCTTTTAGATTTTCAATACAGAGCACTATAGATGAAAGCGGTCTGAAAACTCCACTTAGATTTAAAAGCATCATATCACATGAATATTTTAGTAGAAAATTTCATACAGGCCTATTGTCTGCTATCCAGCACTTGCAGTAATCACAGAATTTCTTTGGCTGTGACTTCCAGTAGTCGGCCCTGAAAAAGGAAAAACAACGCTCAAGTTTATCCAAAAACTGAAAGAGAATTGTTAGGTTTGTTAAAATGTGGAACATAAGGCTGCTGACCGTCTTTTCTTAGCAAAGCAGTTCTATTCATTATGCGAAGCTAAATTCCGCGCAGAGCTGCTTTCCGTAAGGTAAAGCCAGGCTTCTCGCTACTGCCACAGAGATGGAGGAGAGCCAGCCTCAAAGAAAACTATCTCCCTTTCCCGTCCCCTTCTCAGCCGATTCGCTTGTTCCGGGGACCCGACTCCGGGGAAAGCCGCAGGACGTCAGCGGCGGCAGCGCCACGCAGGCCCCGGGAGCCGGCGGGCGGGGGCGGCCCCCGAGCCCCGGGCTCCGGCCAAAAGGGCGGCCGCGTCTCCTCGAGAACCGGCCGGGCAGGTCGGGCGGCCCCGGGGGAGCGGAGCTGGGGGGAGGGGGGAGGAGGAGGCGCCGCGCGGCGCAGGTCCGACCCGACCCGACCCGACTCACATGACCGCACCAGCTCCGAGCTCGGCCCGCGATCCGGCTCACGGCCGTCCGTCGGCGGCGAAACCCACGACTTCCCGGTCTCCGCGTCCCCGGGCCCGGCGTTCCGCGGCCGGGCTACGGCAGCCGCGACGGCCCAGTCCGCGCGCGCGCGCGGCGTCACCGCCTCTTCCCCTCCCCCACGGGGCGGTCCTCGCGGCGCCTGAGAGGTGGGGTCGGTATAAAGGGGTTGAGGTCACCCAGAAGGGACGGAGGCGCGACGGGACCGGAGCGGTGGTCCTCGAGCGTCCGAGCCGGGCTCCATCCCGCGGTGCTCGCTCCTCCCGGGATCCGGGGGCTCCGCTCGGCCGCCGCCGCCGCCGCCTCCTCCGCCCCCCCCGCCCCCGGCGCGCGCAGCTGTTCCCACGGACGGCGCCGCCCTCGCCTTTTGCCCGCGGTAGCCTCCTCTCTCCGTGACCCGGGAGCAGCCCGAGACCTGAGGGCTCCGAAAGAAAGGCGCGGCCGCCGGCTCCGGGACCGCACGGCGCTCCGGGCTTCGCCTCGGAACTTGCCAGTGGCGGCGTCGGCCCCGCTCCTCCCCTCCCCCGTCACGCCCGCGCGCGCTCCGCCGGGCTCGTTCCCGCGCGTGGGGGCCGCGGCGGCGGCGGCCGGGCGTCTTCGGCTGGGATCGTGCAGAGCGGACGAGCCGGGAGCTGCGCTTACGCTAGTCAGGTGGGTCGCGGCGGTGCTCCCGGCAGCACTTCCCATATGGTCTAGCGGTTAGGATTCCTGGTTTTCACCCAGGCGGCCCGGGTTCGACTCCCGGTATGGGAACGGCGCACTTTTTGTCACCGTTTGGACGCGGTGGTGTTGTTTTCTGGTGGCCCCGGCTAACTTGTGCTTGTGGTGTCCGGCTGAGTTTGGGAAGGGACCGGGGAGCTGGCTCGCGCAGGACCGCGGGGTGCGCTCGGGGGTCCCCGCCGCGCCCGGGCCAGTGCGGGAGGAGTTTCGCTTTCCCGGCCGCCGCTCCCCGCCCGCCGGCCACGCCGGCCGCCCGCCCTCATCCCGTACTTTTCCAGGCGTTAGGGAGGTGATGATTAACTCGGGCCTCGCCTTATCTGCCCCCCCGCCCCGGTGGCCCCTCCGTCCACACCCTACTCGGTCACCCCCTTCCGACACCGCGGGCTGGGGCGTGCCGGCCGCGCTCCAGTTACTGTCAGCAGCCACCGGAGACCCCTGGGCTGGCCCGGCCGGCTCCGGGACCCCCGCCGTTTGCGCCCGGGCTGAGCCCACCGCTTCCCCAAGAAGCACGCCCAGCCTCAAGACGAGGCCTCTGCAGAAACTGTCCCCCCCTCCCCACCCTTCTAACTCCCTTTTTACTCTTCAAACACGCGACAAGCTGCGGGGAAGAAAAAAAAATACCACTGTGATGAGTTGTCTTTAAAGAACAGAATCCACTTTCTGGGAGGCTGTTTTGGAGCGTCACTGATTAAAAAAGAATCATGGGGTGGATGGAGGCGGAGCCTGGGAGACAGAAAACTAGCCCGGAGACTCGGGAGGGATGTTATAACAAAGTTGCAGTGTACTTTTAAATATAGAAGCCCTGTGTTTATTACAGAGAAGGGACCCAGCTGTGTCAGCAGCCCGAGCGCCGAGAACGAAACAAAAGCGTTATCTCAAGTGCAAGTCGAAATTAGAAGATTGGGGCGGCTGTAATGTTTAGTCTGTCGGGCCTTTGGGCACAAATAAGGAAAAACTGACTCCCGCGGATAGGTTTCTGGTCAGAGCCATGAGTGAGCAGAAGTTTTGGCTTGTGTTTGTGTGTTCTCAAAATATTTTATAGCCTTAACTGGCACCGCTGAGTTTGAAAAATAACTGTTAATGTGATCTGTGTGATTAGGGGTTAATTAGCCTTCCCTCAAAAAGTTAAAGCTAGAAAACCCCGTTGGCAAATATTTAAAACCTTACGTAAAATATCTGTGTGTTTACCCATGTCAGGTACCCTACGGATGTTTTGAGGTCCCTGCTACCCCATTCTGACTCCGGTGACTAGCTGTGGGACCTGCTTAGGTCTTTGACCTCAGTTGTATTCTAGCTTTAGAGCCGTAAGCTGTCCTTTATAGTCTCTCTCCTCCTCCTCCTCATCATCATTATATTAAGTATGATTTTACATGTGGCCCAAGATGGCCTAGAACTCACTGGGAGCCCAGAGTGCTGGGATTTGTGATCCTCCTGCCATTGCTTCTCAAGCAGTGAGAGTGCAGGCTTGTGCCTCAGGGCCTGTTTGGATTCTTTCTGGGGGCTAGGATAAGGTGGGCATTGAGACATCTGCTCTTGTAGCCTGGGATAGCCTCAAAATCTCTGTGGTGATGAGGATAACCTTGAACTCTTGATCTTCCCGCCGCTTCAGACTCGGATTACAGGCATTGTGGCACCAGGCCTGACTAGATTTCAGGAAAAAAAAAAAAAAAGTTAATTAAAAATGTTTATGTGCATGAACGTTTTGTCGGCATGTGCACCACGTGGGGTGCCTGCTGTCCAGGGAGGGCAGAATGTGTCAGATCCTTTGGAACTGGACTTCTGGATGGTTGTGTTTTGGTGCCAGGGAATCAAACCTTCCTCTCCGCAGGAGACACAAGTGCCCAAAACCTCTCTAGCAGCACCCTACGTTCTCCATAGCAACACATCCTTCACAGGGTTTAGGTAGATCTTGTCTAGGTAATGGGAGTAGGAATTTTTATTCAACAGTTTTGTGTGCATTAAGAACCAGGCACTGAAAGCCTTCTCTCCAGACTCCGAAGAAAAGGCGCCCAGCTCTGCTTTAATTTTTGTAAGGACTTGCTTGACTTGTGCTGAAGTGTCTGTTATTGTAAACTGAACAGTATGTGATGGCAGGTGGGCGTACTCCGTGAGGGTGAGGTTAGGGCAGTGGTAGGGTGACAGCATTCCTGCCCCAAATGTCCTCTGTCAAGCTCTGGGTCAGGTGGGGATATTCGCTCAGGCAGGGTCTGAGGTACAGAATTGACGAGATTAGGCGGAGGTTTGGCTCCAGGGGAAGGGCAAGAATGGCTAGTGTTTGCCCTGTATCTGGAAGAACTGGTTGGATTTCTCCCAGTGGGAAATGTAAATCATAAAATCTGAGGTGGAGAGGGACATAGGATCAGGAGACCTGCAGGAAGTCTGGTGTGGCAGGCACAGACAGTGCCTGGAGGAAGATGGTGGCAGCAGGAGAGGGGCAGGGATTTGAAACTTTGTAATTGGCTAGGTTACTGTTAATCAAGCAGCAACCTTTTATATCAGGACAGTTTTACAAGCATTTTTGTCTCTTTGTTTTGTGCTGTTATTGTTACTGTAGGGCTGAGTCTTACTGTCATGGCCCAGCTTAACAGATGTGTTCTCCCACATCCAGTTCTGTCTCTGAAAAGCTTGAGTGTGACTGTGGTATGTGAAAAAAGAAATCTTACTTCAGAACACTCAAACAATATAGGAACATGCAGAATATTTTGTGCCTGTGGGTTTTAAGTTTAGGAGTGGAATATTTTCAAATTAATAGAATGGAAAAGCAATTAATTAGACCTTTAAAGAATGAGGTCTGGGTTTAAATTAATTAATTCATTAAATTCATTAATGAGTGAATTGCAGCTATTCTTTTTGGGGCCTTGATAATTCCTGAATAGTTGGGAAGATATATTCAATAAATGTGTGACAGTCTTTGTTAGGTTGCCAGTGATGCCTAAGGTGTTTCCTCTAGACCATTAATAGAGTTGTGCTAATTCACCCGGTCTGTTTTACCATTGTTCCTGCCAGGTGCAACCAGGAGATGTCTGAATGTTTAATGAAAGTTTGTGAACACCTGTGTTTATGGACATGCAAGAGAGTAGGAGACAAGATGATTTAAGCAAATTTCAGAGACCTTCCCAGTGTCCCATTGCCTCTGCTAACTTCTCCACTTCATCTCTCCCTCTGCCACTTCACTGAAGCTCAGCTACCATTGGCCTTCTTGTTGGCTCTTGAATGTGCCTAGGAATTTTAATACTTGTTTTTCTATTTCAACTCTCCACATCTCAGTAAATGTGCCTTACTTTCTCAGAGAGGCTTTTTTAAAAATTGTAATTCAATTTTATCTATTTATTTATTTATTACAAGTTATTCAGTTTGTATGTCCGCTGTAGCCTCCTCCCTCAGCCTCTCCCAATTCTGTCCTTCCTCCCTCATCTCCTCCCATGCCCCTCCCCTAGTTCCCTGATAGGGGAGGTTCTCCTCCTCATCTACCTGACCCTAGCTTATCAGGTCTCATCAAGGCTGGCTGCATCATCTTCCTCTGTGGCCTGGCAAGGCTGCACCCCCCAGGGGGAGGTGATCAAAGAGGCAGCCACTGAGTTCATGTTAGAGACAGTGGAGAGGCTTTTTTTTTTTTTTTTCTGGTCACATTAGATAGACTCTCACTTTTCAGTTACTTTCAGGTTAATTTACTTTGCTTATTCATGTTTTCCTTTCTTATTTGCTTTTTACTGCAATTAACCTGTTTGCCTTTTTAAAATTAAAATGAATTCTCTCTCTCTCTCTTCCTCCCTCCCTCTCGCTTGCTCACTCTCTCTCAGTTCAGAGAACAACTTGTAGGACCCAGTTCTCCCCTTCCACCACTGGGCACCTAGGATCAGACTCAGGTTATCAGCCTTGGCAGCAGATGCCTTTGCCTGCTGAGCCAGTTCTGGGCCTTCTCAAATTTTAAAAAGATTCCTTTATTTGATGTGTCTGAGCATCTTGCCTGCCTGCATGTACATGTATCATGAGGATGCCTGGTATCCTTAGAGGTCACCAGGTCAGAAAGAGGGTGTTGAGTTCCCTTGGGACTGGAGTTAGGACGGTTGTAAGTCACCACCGGGTGCCAGGAACTAAAGCTGGGTCCCCTTTCAGAGCAATGGAGGGCCTCTGAAAGGCTCCACCCAACAGGGAATCTAAGCAGATGCTGAGACTCACTGCCAACCTTTGGGCAGAGCGCAGGAGTCTTACGGAAAAAGGGGGAGAGAGAAAGACCTGGAGGGTATAGGAACTCCACAAGGAGACCAACAAAGCTAAAAAACCTGGGCCCAGGATGGCCTGCAAAGACTGGTGCACCAACCAAG